AATAAATGTCTTTCGAGGCCACTACTAGTCATTAATACTTTAATATTTTCATTTGTGGGGGAAGAAAAAATACAATTTTGTCAACAAAGCCTGTGACGCGTGGCCCACGTTACACTTCTACAGAAGAGGTCGGGATTTTTTTTCTACGCTGTCCGGTTGACACAGAAATAGATTTTTGGATGATTGCCTTAGCGTGCGAGGGCCGCTTCATGTATGCCAGGTCCACAATACAGTTGACCAACAGTTTTCCGAACCAGGGCCATGTAGATACATTAGATCATTCAGTAAACACARTTTATTCATTTTCAATTTATCACGTTTTTAATATAAAGTCATAAGTTCGGTTAATGTTTCCTCCAGAGATGAATGGCCACGCTCCGTCTGAAAAGCGTCGCACTAGGTACGCTCGATCGTCGACCGTTAGTGTCACCCAAATGTTATCAGATTCTTGTTCCAGTCTTATTAACCGGATAACCGGGCGATCTCGTGGTCCATCTGAGTGTATCCGTAAACCTGAACTTAAACCCGTCGAAACGTCGCGAAATCATAATATTCCTTCGTCATCGTCATCGTCTTCCTATCTTCCTAGCCCGTTTCATTCATCTGGATACTCTGTGCGTAATGAAGATCGTTATTTATCCGCCTTAGATGCCCATCGTTACCGAAGACAACAAAGGCCCCTCACTAAAAGTGCTACCACAGTTTTRTTATCCGAAAAGGCTTATCCTTTTGTTCACCAAACACCACGTGAAAAGACTCCGTATCGTCGCCATAAACCTAACGTACTTCTATCTATACGTCCGTTAAAACGGTCTCCTACAACCATCACTGCTACAATACATACACCCGAACCTGTAGCACAAGCTGTAGACCCTGTGATAACGGAGCGTGAAGCCAAGCGTAAGGAGATACAGACATTGATTATGAAATATTCAGCCTTGGACAATGACGAAGAAAATGATGATACTCCTAGTGTTTTGACTAAGTGCCAACAAAAGTATTCTTCCATTCTTACTTCTTCTGTGAGCAGCGGCGTAAGTTTGTCACGTGTGTTGTATGAGTATGATTCGTATACATATATATCTATTTTAATTAGAGGAAACTATTTAAATTATCATTTGTTRTATCGAATAGATGCTGTTAACAAAATAATTATCTTCAGTAATTTTGAATTAATTGTAAAAAAAAAAGTTCGTTCCTCGTAAGTGTAAAATATGTGAATCAATTAATTTTAGCTTATCGTCTCAAAAAATTAACCTTTTTAAACCCCGATTTTGCTTTCTAAAATTAATTCTTTTTACGATTTTTTTAATTCAAATTTATACAATAAGCCGATGTGCGTATTATTTTGAAATAGTAAATTCGTGTTAATATATTATAGAGATTAAAAAAAATTCGTTTGAAAATTTGTTTACAAAAATCGTAAAAAATTGCTAATTGTGTAATTGGTTGGTCACTTTATAAATCGTTTTAGTTAGGAGGGGCCTCCTTTTACCGCTGCTCGCCAAGAGCTCACAAAATATATAGGCCATGCTGAGCTATCTATTTTCGCGCGTGTTCAACATTAAGTTAATGTTATTTTACTCCCCCCTCATATATCATTTGTTATTTACGTGGTTAAGAATGTTTGATTAATTACAAATAAATAGATGATTTAAAAACGCGGGAATTTATATATGTATTATTAGTTGTAGGTTTATAACTCTTGTAGCCACTTTTATAATAGCAACTATCAAGTCTATAAATATACAAATAAAAAATTGATTGTATCATTAATATATAATATTTGAAGGTTAAAAACAATTTAAATCAATTTATATAAATAAAATTAACAATATTGCGTACAGACAAATAACTATTGCTTCATGCTTATAAGTAATAAATAATAAGTAGTTAGTAGTAACTATTACTTTTAATGTTCAATAATATGATAAGACCATAAATTCTGTATAATGACTTACATTCTATTGACTACATTTAGGTTCAAAATAATATAATTTCTCTGTTAGTTCACAATTAAAAACAATGGGACTTTGGCATTTTTCTAAAATAAAAAAGGTAATATTCAAAAATCATTCTTAAATAAATAAAATATTTTATGCTTATCAATTCATAATAATTGATAACCATTATTTATGTGTGTCCATGATTTATATTAATGTGACATTTGTTTGATTTTATAATATATATAATATACAAAAGGTAGAATATTTTTTTATTGATTTTTATTTTTAAACCCAAACATACACATTCACACACTATATTATAGTTAATTTATATATATTTCATCAAAATATATGTAAAATAACGCTTATATTTGTAAGAATATGTATATGTATATGAAAAAAGTTGTTAACGAGGCTTTCCTTTGCCTTGTGTCCTTCTGTCTTTATGATTGCGGGCGATTAAACACGCAACTGCTGAAAATTGGTGCGCCACCTGAATGTACAAATCCCGTACGAATACCAATCGGCCGTCAACAATTCGCGTGTGTGTGTGTCCGGGCGTCTAATAATCAATTCCTACCAAATACATGATGAATATTGGGACAACAATTACGGCAACTGTTTGATCACCCTCAACAGCAGCGAGCAAGAAGTCCAGTCATTGTGGATGACGAAGAGGGACATCTGATATACAAAAATGGAGACAATCTGGCCGATAGATGTTCGTGAACCAGTTACATTTTACAAATGATTACTTACTCTTTCTAAAACAAATACAAAAAAAAAAAAAAAACAGTAATGTACAAAAATGATAAGTGGATGAAACATTAGCGCGTGCATTTGTGGTTTTTGGCTGAATGGGGACAACTAGATACTTTTTCTCATCCACTTAATGTTTGGTTGTAAATTTTTTTATATACATCACATTATTTATACTATTACTGTTTTGACTAATCAGAAATTATCGAAAAAATATCCTATAATTTCGCTAAATTTCTTATTCTAATATTAAAAATTAATAAGAGAACATTTTTCTCCGAATTCTCATGTTAAATTTTCTTAAAAATTTCACCTGGTATTGCGAATATGAGATTTGCCTTTAATCTATTGATCTATTGTTTAATTGTTATAATATTATCAATGTCTGTCCCAGCAGAAGATGCAATCTTTCATTTATATTTGTATTAATCTAGTATACTTTGAAAAATTTCAGATCAAATCATTCAAACCCTTGGCGAAGGTACTTTTGGTAAGGTAGTGAGTGCCAAATGTTTGAAAAAGTAAGTAATAAATCATTATTTTTGTTTGCATGTATATTTTCTATACAATACTATTAAAAGTTAAATTTTTAATTAATCATCATTAACGTATAAATGTTAATTATGTAAATCATTTTAATGGATGGAAAATTAACTTTTTTTTTCATTGAAAAAACATTTCAACTTGGCAATTTAAAAACTGTATATCTATTATAATATATTTTAATGCAGGTGGGGAGGGGGGGAACTATTGTAGCCCATTTGGAATTTTAACAGATGTTTAATTACCTTCAAATCTTAATATTAATATAGGCCAAAAAATAATAAAAGTAAACAATTTTATGTTAATAATATATTAAAATTGCAAATTTTTTAGTCGTGATGAAATTGCTGCAGTTAAAATAATAAAAAACGTTGAAAAATATCGAGAAGCAGCGCKTTTAGAAATCAATGCCTTAGAAAAACTAAATGCAAAGGATCCAGAAAGTAAAAAGTATGATTTTTAAATTGACTATTAAAACCTCATTGTTTAAATAATGTTTTAATTTTTGTTTATTAGTCTTTGTGTTCGAATGATTGATAACTTTGAATTTGGAGGACATGTATGCATTGGATTTGAATTACTGGGACTAAGTGTTTTCGACTTTTTGGTAAGCTTTATTAATAATTTATAAACTAAATGATAAATTTATATAATTATTTGAATAATTTTTACAGAAAGAAAATAACTATCAACCATACACAGTTGATCAGGTGCGTCATATATCTTACCAACTATGTTATGCTGTGAGATTTTTACATCGCAATAAATTGACACATACTGATTTAAAGCCAGAAAATATACTTTTTGTCAAATCTGAATATGATACCCAGTATAATCAAAAAAAGGTAAATATTAATATTTGACCCTTTATCAATTATAAATATAATAATAAATTCAAATTGCTGTTTGACACAGAAGCGTGCGTACAAAATGATTAAAGATACCGAAGTACGATTGATTGATTTTGGTAGTGCCACATTTGACGATGAACACCATAGTACAGTTGTATCAACAAGACATTATAGAGCACCTGAAGTTATTTTAGGTAAATATTTCTCTCCCTCACTTTCAAGTGTATTTATATTAATATCTTAATGTTGTTTTAGAACTTGGTTGGGCTCAACCATGTGATGTATGGTCTATTGGATGCATTATTTTTGAACTTTATTTGGGTATTACATTATTCCAAACACATGATAATCGTGAACACCTTGCAATGATGGAGCGAATTCTTGGCTCAATACCTTACAAGTAAACATAACTCTAATGATTAATTCAATGATTGGTAATTAATAATTATGATTTATAAATTTGAATAGGATGGCCAGAAGAAGTAAAACAAAATATTTCTATCATAGCAAATTAGATTGGGACCAATCCAGTTCTGCTGGACGATATGTTAGAGAAAATTGCAAACCCTTAAAGGTTAATTAAATTATTTAAATGTTGTTAGCTTAAGTAATTATAATATTTTTATTTACTTTTTTAGAGATACATGAGTTCTGAAGAAGAAGACCACCGACTATTATTCGATTTGATCTCTCAATTGCTCAAATATGAGCCAACTCAACGAATGACCATGGAGGAAGCTTTAGATCACCAATTTTTTTATAAATTACCTGCTCACCAGAGACTTCATGATAAAGAAGAAAGATCACATTCACTGTCTAGATGAAAATGTCGTAACAGCCGAGGTCACTAAACATGCACCTCCGGCTTGAGCGTCTCTTATTATTGGGATGCTTATTGTTGTTTTTTTTTTTAACTGGCCTAGTAATGTAACTAACTAGGATAAGATAAAGAAAACGATATATACATAATTTGTATATAGTTACTTTTATAATCATTCGCATTAAGTGTTAGTTGATTTATGAAGTTTAACTTAAGATATTATTACCCTCCCATGAATAGAAATATATTGTAATGTATTCAAAATTCTATGTTCATAATTACATTTGTGTATACAGGTAATCTAGAAAAATTGTAAAAGTTTTATATATGTATATATAAGTATAAAACATTTACAATTTTWTGGACTCTGTTTATAATTTGGATAAGTTCTAGAACATTAAACCTTTTGTATCCTAAAAATTGCAAATATTGTTAGTAATTTCTAATAAATTTCTACTCCTGAGAATTTCACAAAGCTGTCCTAACTAATAGTGATACAATTATACTTTCAATGAGTTTTTTTAATATATTTATATTACCTCAATTAATTTGTTTAAATCCACTGTTAATTTCTTTTTTATTAACAGATTATTTCGATGAATAAAAGATACAAAGTCTAGGAAAACAATATAGGATAGATAATCAATAATTTGTATTTTAACTTGACTGTGAATATCATACCCAAGAAATTCTCATAACATTATAGAAAGAAAAAGTTAATATATATATATATTATTTTTTATTATTATTAAAATATTTTACTATCCAAAATCTGGACTTTACTAATTATAAATTATAAGTAAAAAACCACAAAACAAAGTAAATGCTTGTATGATGTGGATATTTCAAAACTTAACTAAATAGACAGAGTGAACAATCATTTGTTGTAATACATTCTTATAAAAAGTAAAAATATGACTAGGTTTTTGACATCACTGAAAATAAGAACAATAGGGTATATTCTCAAAAAAATAATCAAGTTCGTTTTCCAGTTCTCGACTTAGATCTAGCCTGCACTTTGTCCTTGTAAGTTAAATACACATGTGAAAAATCTGGTCGGCGAGTCTAAAACACAAATGTTTTTAATAATCACAATAGCTACAATCTTAGTAATAAAAATATTCAACTGTCAATAAGTATACTAAAAATATAAATTTACTAGAATATATAATATATTAATAATCTGAGCAAAAGAATAAAATAACAACACACCTCAAATGTAATTTCTTCATCATTAGGCAACTCTTTTGCCATATTATTCCCAGTATATGCTACACATCTTAGTTCCCATTCTCCTATTTCTTCATTCCAGAATGAATTCTTTTTTATGAGTTCCTGAGATAAGTAAAACATAGGTATGAGTGTGATGTAACACCTTACAATGGCCGTAAATAGCCTTATCTAGATAGATGAATGAAAACCCATAATTGAAAAAAAAAATGAAATGTCATCAAGCGTAACTTAAACCCCTCAAAGTCGTTTTCCATTTAATATTTATAAAATAATAATATTAATTACTTTTGCATATTAAAAAATGCTATTTAAATATAACTTAAGATCATAATATACAATTTTTATTTTGAAAATAAATAAATGAAATATTGTCTTACCCTCAAAAATAAAATTTAGGTGAAAGCATTTCATGTATGTTACGTATGAGCCTGAGAAAGAAAAAAATATTGCGCGAACCAAATCTTGATATTAGAATAAATTGACACTAGAGGTTAATACTTACTGGAGTAAGTTAATTAATATCTATAAATGCTATACTTATAATATGATTAAAAGTTCAATTAGAAAACAGATTCCCCTTCAAATCATATGATAGATCAAATCACTATTATTTACATTTATTTTAACAATACATGCTGATAAAATGTTCTTTTAAAAAAATGTATTTGTGGGTAAGACAAGTTCTAGAAATACATAGATACTGACAAATTATATTAACAAATAAATGCAAATTATTGGATTCATTTTAATCTTAATAGCTTACCAAGTAATCATCAGGGACAAAATGCTCAATAATGACTTCTTGCATCTTCAACTCTTTAGATGTCTGTTTTAGAATCTGTTTTAATTCCACTATTTCTCTTTTATTCTCGTCTTCAGTATCTTTAAGATCTTCTTTAACAGCTAAAATGGCTGCTGATAATTTTTTCAATTTCTTACTTAATGCTCCTGATCTCTCTTGCAGACCACTATATTTATCTTCAGTATCCATCTTTTCAGCTTGCACTTCTTGTAAACGCATATTTAAATTCATCTGTCTAGATTTTCTATCTAATAACTCTTTTGCTGAATCTTCTAACAACTTCTCTTGTGCCACAGACTTCTCTAATAGATTCTCACCACCCACAATTATTTTTTTCTCCATATTCTCCAATTTCTCTTTTAACCTAATCATTTCTTGGCGTGCTGCATCCAATTCTTCACGTTTGCTTTGTACTGCATTAGCTACTTCTTCGGAAGCTCCGACAACCAGCCCTTCTTCTTCTCCTTCCTCTTCACCATCATCATCTGCTTCACTAAGACCCTTACTACTGTCATCTATTTGCTTTTTCAAAGCTTCAATTTCCATTTGAAATTGTCTAAGTAATGCTTCCTTAGGGTCTTCATTAGCCTTAGATGTATTTTGAATATTCTTGGCTCGGTTGGCATATCGTAAAGTGCTAATAGTTTCATCATAGTTGAAGCCTGCTGGTCCTACAGTAGCACACTGAACAAATTAATTAAACAACATAATAATACATAACTGTATGACAGTGGTGTAACAAGGAAGGGGAAGGAGTTAAAACCAAATCCCCCGCTCCCAAAAAGCCTAGTATAATAATGCACATGCATATCAATCTTCCTAAGTTGTATTTAATGCTAGATGACAGAAAACCATTTCAAGGTATCAGTTTTATTTTAATTAGTTCTATAATCTGTATAAATAAGTTAATTGTTGAGCTGTAATATTTAATGTACTAAAAGCTAATAATAATTTTTTTTAAGGTATGGTTATATATGTGAGGTCTTATTTTTCATACTTAGAGATTTTTGCCTATCTGGCATATTTCTATTTTACCGGGCATATTAGACATGAATTAGATATTCCTATTTGTATTATTATATCATATCAATATACATTTATTCTATGGAAATACTATGAAAAACTCAACATTTGTCCAGAAAAAAAAAACTATCGTTTATAATTTTTCATTTTAATTGGGACATACAAAAATAAATTGGTATTATAAAAAAATTAATGGATAGTTCCTGTTCTTTAAAAATTGTTTATGATTAAGTGCATATAAATGCATATTTTTTAACTTTTTAAGGCATATTTCAATGCATAGTTTGTCAATTTTGAGTGCATAAATGCATGCTTACTCAGGCATGGACTTTCAAGACTTAATAATAACCTATATAATACAGCAATAATCTCGATTAAAAATTTATTCTGAGAATTCTGTAAAAATTATATTTATTTATGTAATATTATTATGATTTAGCGAAAACACATTATAAACGTTTCAATAGCCGCCTAGGCTTAGCCCACCATACAAATCCCTTAATGTCTGACCTATCATCAGGTTTCTATCCCAGGTAACCCATATAAGATTAAAAACACAGTTGTGTCACGACCTGCAAGCCTAAGTGAATAATGAATATATGTGCAATAATAACCTAGTCTAAAAAAATCTTATTCATGTCGTAGTACCTCCACTGGAAGGCCTCTACAATCTGTCATAACTGCCATTTTATATATTATTATTCTAATTTTTTTTTTATCTTAGCCTCTATCATCAATTATTCTTATTGTTCTCCTTTGAAACAGATTGAATANATTTTTAATTTTGTATACAATTTTTAGGAGATAAGACATGTAGGAGCTGACTTGAATATTAACCCTACAATAATAAGTGGCGAAGAGTTGAAAAAAAAAGGACTTGGAGGAATATATGGTGTCGGTAGAGCATCTTCTGTTGGTCCAGCTCTAGCTATATTATCTTACACCCCAGAAAATTATAATACAAAAAAATATATTAGAGTAGACTTTAAAATAAGTTATTAATTTACCATAACAGTTTTCGAGTTTCCTCCTAAAGAATCTTGTAGTATCCGAGTAAGTTTTGAATTGCGATATGGAATATGAGTGGACTTTCCATCAACCAATGCAGAAATTACATTTCCAAGAGTTGATAAAGATAAATTAATTTTTGTAGCCTCTTTAAATCTTATACCAAGAGCGCCTGTTTTTGATTGTCGTTCGGAACCCTTAATTAATAAATATATACAACTTAATGATATGWAAAAGACAACAACAACTAACATTGATACTYACTGCTAAGTCAACCAATCGAAGTCGGCCAACTTTGACATGGTATTCACCGGTAACATCAGGTCGACTAGTTTCTATAGTTATTGAAAATATTGCATGTGACCGGGAACTTTCAGAATTCATGGCTGTTGCAGCAGTAGCACCTAAAAATTAAACACAAAATTAGCTGTCCTATATTCATTGATTGAAGTACTTGCGATTTTTGTTTCCAGTCATCAACAGTTGGTGCATATCATCTGCATTATTTACTACATATGTTGACAAATCTTTCACATATACACCAACATCTGGTCTCTCTTTTACCTCCAATTCAGTAGACACATGTTTACTCAATAAGTCATAAACGCCTTCATTGTAGATTTCAAAATAAGAAACACTAACCAAAAACCTAATGAAAACAAAAATAAATAATACATATTTATTTAGTTTAGATTATGACTAGGCAGTTAAATGTYTAAAATAACCATAATGATATATCATTTACTGTTCTTTTTAATTTTAATTATTATTATTTTTGTTTTAGATTAGATCTTTATAATTCCATCTGTCCACTAGTAAAAACTAATTAAATCTCATTCTATACAATACAATGAATAAAACCAACTTACTTGACATCTTCTTTTGCTTTAGCAATATGACCAAATATATGGGCAAACGAATTTGGAATTATTCCGTTAAGCTCAGGAGAGGTATGAGATCCTTCCATTGTAAATGTTTTGCCTGTACCAGTCTGTCCATAAGCAAATATTGTTCCATTGAAGCCATCGAAAACTTTGTCAACAATCGGTCTTGCCACTTCATTATACACATCCAACTATTTAATTTCATTTGTTAATTAATAATAAATTAAAATTATTAACCAAGCATCAACTCACTTGTTTTGAATCAGAATCAAATACCAAATCAAACATGAAAGTCTTAGGAGGACCAACATGTGATGGGTTTGGATTTTGCACAAAAACAGCTGCATTCTCAGAATCGGCCACGACCACAGGGACACAACCTGAGGATTTCTCTTTTTTGCTTAAAGGTCGCAGACGTACCGCAACGCGGACATTTTCTATTTCTCCTGCATTGTACACCTTTTATACAACAAGATTGAAGATACAATAAGTAGTAAGTACCTATAGTAAAAATAGAGTCAACAAAACTAATTATATTCATTATTCAACTTACCATGGTGTTTGGTTTTAGTAAAAGCGCGATTATACTTAGAACAAGTTTACTGTAGTCTGTAATTGACAATATATYAAATTTTAAATCATTACAGTGAATAATATTAATTCAACGTAATTAAGATTTGTTGAATATGAAGGTTACTTGCTATTATTTTATTTATTTAAGTCAATAGTAAACATGGATCTATTATTTTTTCTACGTCTTATACGTACATATACTGAGCATACTGAGTTTAACTAATATCATGACAAAACATATATTATATATTATTATGTCATGAGTAGTATAAGGTCTATGATAGTAAATAGCCAAATAAGGATTAAAAATTTGTTGTTGGTTTGTTACCTTCTCTATCTCTATCTCTATATTACAATTCACGATAATATCGACTGATAAGATAAAACTGTTAGATAAGATAGAGAGAAACGGATGTACTATGCTGATTTGACGACAGCCAATTAGGGTGAATTCGTTTAGTTTTATTAGTTTCTAAATATTATAAGCACTATATCCTCGTAAAAAGTTCCTTCTATACTCACACGCATTATCATCCCTATAATGTTCGTCTATATGTCTATTGTAATACGTTAATTTTGTGATTAATGTCTAATGATTATAAAGAAATTATCTACGTATAACATAGTTGAGACAGACATTTCTCAAAAAAAATATATATATACTTCTGCTGCAGAAGTAGATGGTGGCGTATATATAAATTAATTTCGGGGGGTGGTGTTACAAAAAAAATTAATATTTCAACACTCCCTCTTAAACTCTATGTTCGAACATCGGAACAACTTCACGTCGCGCCGATATTATCGGCGGGTGCTATCGTGCCGTCGGCGTTGAAGTTCACCGAGCACCCTACCCCTCCTACATCGGTAGACAACTCGTCGCGAGCTAGGACAGATTCGCCGGCCGGTGCTGTCT